ATACATACACACACACACACAAACACACACACACACACACACACACACACACACAACAACAACAACAACAACAAAATGGCACAAAGGAAGACTTACGTAATTGAACACAGCCAATGCAGAATGACGATTTCACTACACAGTCTCATCCCTGCAACAGTGTGTGTTCATCCCCAGACGGCGGAAGAAGTTGCGTTACGATCTTCCCTCACCTCCCACATTGACATGCCCCCCCCCACCTCGCATTGATCAAGTCTAGCTGGACCCGGCAGGTCCCTGTGTTCCTTTCCCTCTTTCGCCTCCCCTCTCTCCTCTTCTCCCTTTCCCTCCGCATTTCACACACACACACACACACACACACACACACACACACACACACACGCATACGCGCCTTCTTGTAATTTTGACGGTGTGTATTAAGAACTTTCAATAGCCTAGCTGTAGGCAAGCAGCAGTGTTTTTCCTGTGATCCTACATAGCGTTCCCAGCAAGTTTTTCTGTTACACACGCGCACGCACGCACACACACACACACACACACACACACACACACACACACACATACACACACACACACACACACACACACACACACTCTCCCTGCCCCTCTCTATCTTAGTTTCTCTCTGTCTCTCTCACGCATATTCACACAAGTACACAGGCAGAGATAATAATTAATATAATATATAAATGAACACACATACTTTTTAAAACTTACTGGAAACAATCCAAATAATATAAATTCCCACTTACGGTCACACATATTAATATTAATGTGCTCACAATTACTCTCACCAACATGACACTCATGTGCACTCATATATATACTTCACACGCACACAAATATTCAAGTGCATCATGATGCAATGCACATTCCTGCATAAACTTAATTACATACTGACTAGAATAGCAACACTCACTTTCATAAGCACACACACACTCACACACACACGCAAACACACACAGCCAAACACAGTGACCCCCCCTTTCTCTCTATGTATCTCTGTGTCCCCCCCCCCCCCTCTCTCTCTCTCTCTCTCTCTCTCTCTCTCTCTCTCTCTCTCTCTGACTTTCTCTCTTTCATAACACACTCGACACAAACACACACTACTCTCACATAATGCACGCGCACACAAAAACCATACATCACATACTTACAGAGGCTTTCATACCTCCCCCGGTCCTTCCACTCCTCACCCCCACACACGCACTACACTACACAGCCAAACACAGTAACCCCCCCCTCCCTTCTTCCCCTCTCTCTATCTCAGTCCCTCTTTCGCTCTCTCTCTCTCTTACTCTCTCTATGTATCTCTCTAAGACTTTCTCTCTTTCATAACACACACGACACAAAACACACTCTCCCTCACATAATACACGAAAACACAAAACCACTCATATTTACAGAG